CACCTTCAATTCTTATTGCTTTGAATTCACATATACTTATAGCTTTTGTACTGATGCAGCATTATGATAGACGAGGTCAATATGACATGGCTCTATCTAAAATTGATGAGGCCATACAGCACACTCCAACTGTGATTGATTTATACTCTGCAAAGGTTGGTTTGAACCACCCGTCTGTGTGCTTTTGCTGTTTATTGCTGTCTTCTGGTTTCACCAGCTGTGGCTTTAAATAATTGTTTTCTGAGGTGTTCCTATTCTCTTTATTCTCTGTGATGTTTGCGAGGGAAGTATAACAGGCAGTTCAAATGGTGGCGTTGTCTAGATAGTCTATTTTAGTAATCTACATATAACAATGAAAATTAATGCATATTTTTGTTTCTTTCGGAGTTATTTGAGTTGTGAATGAGGTGCGAAAATGAGATTCAGTGCTTAGATAAAAAGCCTTGATAAGTTCTAACACATGCCATATTGAAAAGGTCAACTGTAGGTGCTGTATTCTGGTAAGTTCTTATATGAGTCGTTGGAAGGCATTGAATAAAATTCTTACCCCCTGTATATTGGGGGGCCCAGAAGTTTCGAGACCACAAGCAAGGCCTTGCGCAGACTGTTTAAATTTTATTCTTGGGCTGCTGCTGTATTTTTGATTATTTATATTTTGTATTAACGTCAGTTCACTCTTAAGGATTACCTTAATTTAAACTATCCAAATTAGTATCCTTGGGTAATACTGTTTCTCATTGTATTCTATCTTTAACTTGCACAAAAAAGTAATGGATCATTTAAGTTGAACAATGTTTTACATGTTTAGTTGGAAAGCTTTGTTTGTGTCAATAACTAGTTTTGTCTCGCCTCCTGTTCACAGAGTCGGGTTTTGAAGCATGCTGGTGATTTGCCTGCTGCTGCTGCACTGGCAGATGAAGCTAGATGCATGGATCTTGCAGATCGTTATATAAATAGTGACTGCGTTAAGCGTATGCTGCAGGCTGATCAGGTTTTGGATCTCACCTTTCGTGACCTTTTCTCTTTGTTCTGTTAATAGGAAAATATTTTGTAGAAAAAGGAACATAGCAAGAGAGAGGAGGGGGGGGGGGGTGTGCGGGGAATGGACATAGGGTCCATTTGAACCAAATCACCTAAAACAAAACAAGTAATGCCACACTTATATAAAAAACAAACGATATAGGGGAGCCATACTTAGTAGGCATTTTTATCGTAGAAATTGTTGAATTGTGTTGCCCTTTCTATATAGCTTCTCTTAATACTGAGCCTGTTTTCTACATGTTTTTTCCCCTCCTTTTCAAGGTTCCTTTGGCAGATAGAACTGCTGTATTGTTCACAAAAGATGGTGATCAGCACAACAACCTTCATGATATGCAGTGCATGTGGTTTGTATCAATTTTCTCTGGGACCATTTACTGCTTGCATGAAATAACATTTTTGGTCAGGAACTCTTAGTATTCCATACTTTGTCCTTTTGAAGGTATGAACTTGCTTCTGGTGAGAGTTATTTCCGCCAAGGTGATCTTGGACGAGCCTTGAAAAGATTTTTAGGTGTGGAGAAGCACTATGCTGATATTACAGAAGATCAGTTTGACTTCCATTCTTATTGCTTAAGGAAAATGACGCTGCGGGCCTATGTTGAAATGCTTAAATTTCAAGATCGGTTGCATTCACATGCATATTTTCACAAAGCAGCGGTTGGTGCAATCAGGTGAAGTAGAATTAATGGTTTGCAGTTTTCATATAATTTTTCCATGTCACAACTGCATCCAAAATTTGATGTTATTTACGCCTTATAGAATTTGTTGGTTTGTAGTCTGTCATTCACTTTGAAATAGAATAATATGCAGTACTTTAATTCTTGGCCCATGTTCATATTCGTGGTTATTGAATTTGACATGCAGATGCTATTTGAAGCTGTATGATACTCCTTTGAAATCTACATCCGAAGAAGATGATGAGATGTCTAAGTTGCCCTCTTCTCAGAAAAAGAAGCTGAGGCAAAAACAGAGAAAGGCAGAAGCACGAGCTAAGAAGGTATTGTATTTTCTTTGTGTAGCTTGTGGTTGTCATTGTTGTCTTCCCCATCCTAACACTCAGCATTCTTTTTAGGAGGCAGAGGGGAAAAATGAAGAATCTAATGCAGGTGGTGTTTCTAAGTCTGGGAAACGACATGTAAAGCCTGTCGACCCTGATCCGCATGGGGAGAAGTGTTGCAGGTTATTTTTGTTTCCCAATTGCTTCTTACCCCCTAAGCTTCATATTTCTAACTGCTATGCAGGCATCTTTAGATTTCACTTTATACTGCTGTGACATAGTAAATGGCATTATTCTCCCTCTTACATTTGTACATATTTGCTCAGGTTGAGGATCCCATGTTAGAAGCTACTAAGTACTTGAAACTGCTTCAGAAGAACTCGCCCGAGTCCTTGGAGACACACTTGCTTTCTTTTGAAGTAAATATGAGGAAGCAGAAGATTTTGCTTGCCTTTCAGGTAACATTGAGCAAGATGTTTCTCATTTATTTTTGTTTACTTGAAGCACTCCCATTTTGTTTTATGGTTGGAAGAGTTCGAATTTTAGTATCCAAGATATCTGTCACAAACAACTGGAACATAGTACTTGGAATTTATACTTGTTAGTTTACCATCTATCACAAAGTGCTTCTGCCAGGAATAGAAATTCATTATTGCTAGTTAAATCACTTTGTATTTTGGAAGTTACTTGACCTGTTTTGCATAAATCATTCTTTTGATTTGGACAACAATTTTACTCATATTTTGTAAATTTTCTTTTGGCTGTAGGCTTTGAAGCAGCTTCTGAGGTTAAATGCTGAACACCCAGACTCACATCGCTCCTTGGTACGTCATACATCATGTCTCGCTTGTTTGTATGTGTACATATATGTTGTGATTCTTTTAGAGGCCCTTATTGCAAGACTTAATATGTTAACAGATTAAATTCTTCCATAAAGTGGCTTCAATGCCAGCTCCTGTGACTGATAGTGAGAAACTCGTTTGGAGTGTCTTGGAAGCTGAGCGCCCAATGATCAGGTTTTCTTTGAATGTGCACTTTGTTCTCTCTCTCTCTCTCTCTCTCTCTCCCTGCTGTATGTGTTTGACACCAAACTCACTTACTGGAGATCTGTTCTATTCTCTCTGTAGTCAATTGCAGAATAAATCTTTGGTGGAGGCAAACAAGAATTTCTTGGAGAAACATCAAGGTGACTTTTAAGATTGCCCTTTAAATGATAAACGCTTAAGCCATTGTTTGAATTGTTTACTTATGTCATCCTTTCTTTGTTCGTCTTTTCAGATTCTTTGATGCATAGAGCTGCAGTTGCAGAAATGCTATATGCTCTGGAACCTCACAAGAAATCTGAGGCTATTAAATTAATAGAAGAGTCGACCAACAATATGGTTCCCAAGTAATGCGCTGATCCATTTTATGAATTTCTTTGAAAATTGAAAATCGGTGTACTTTCTTTAAAAGTAATTATTGTAAATCTTTGCATGTATCATTAGAAATGGAGCACTTGGACCTGTCGGAGAGTGGACACTCAAAGATTGTATTACTGTCAGCAAACTCCTTGAAACAATTGTTGGTGACCCTGCGGCTGCTTTGAGTAAGTAGTTTAGCTAAAGTGTATTTTGTTCCTTCCGTACACTTATTCATGGTCAACCTTCCTTTCGTACTCAATAAAATAATAAAAGCAGTTTTACATATTGGTGTTGGCATTTTAGCCAATTTATGGTATATATAAGAAGTTGGGTTACTTCTCACAAAATTGAAGATATTGGTATCAAATAGCGCATTGGATTGCTCCAGTTCATCTCACTCAAGTTTAAATTGTTTGTTTCGAAAATTTGTTACCTATACTCGTCATCTTATGCTTTTCTGAGTTGAATCTCGTCCTGGTAGTAATCCATGTTACAAAGATACTTTTTGGTTGGGAAATAGTCGGAATTTGTATTGCTTTACGTGTATTAAGAGCGCTTCATCCGATGCAAATTGATATAATTCAGTAATATGCTATTTGATTCCTTTGTAGGATGGAAAGGGCGATGTGCCGAGTACTTCCCTTACTCAACATACTTTGAAGGTAAATGTAGCTCTGCTGTACCCAACTCAGCATACAACCAAAAGGGAAGGGCGAAACATTCGGAAGAGCAGCATCCAAGTGCAGATTCCATTGCAGTAAATGGAAAATTAGAGGCCTTCAAAGGCCTCAGTGTCCAATCATGAAGTTGAATAGAAACTTTAACTAAAGAAACATGCAACTTTGCGGTGTTTGATTGACAAATCACAAAGCCAAGCTGCAGGTCAAAAACGTATGCTGTGGGGATATTAGGTTGCAGCTCTTTTGAGATAACTATACGGAGGTTTTGTGCATGTTATGGTTTGCTTTAAGATGAGGTTTTCTTGAAAATGTGTATAATCTACTTTGTATTGTGCCTCTAGGGTTGATTTTTCTTTCTTATTTTTGAACCTGCTCACATTTTTGTGAGCATGTTAGTTGAGTCTGCTTCTTGGTAGGTGCGACTACGCCCGAGCTTACAAATAGGTCAGGGAGGAGCTACAAAATATCATTTTTTCAGCGATGGGCTTAGAGCCGGTCGGAATAGATGCCGGAGCAATGTTGTACTTTTCCCATTTTATTTCCTTTCATCACTATGTATAAACACTAATTTATTTGAAATTTTTTGCCATGGACATCACTTCAAATCAACGCGTTGGTAGCGAACCAATTTTATGTATATTTTTCCAATCGAGCTTATGGTGTGTGATGCTTTCCGAGCTTATGGTGATCTGCCAGCTTTAATTTGTTTTGCTTGCAACAAGATTTTGAGACATGATTTCTTCAAGAATCCATAGACCCATGACGTTCCAAATTTCTAAACCCCGGAAAAGTATGAGCACCTGAACAGAACAGAAGGGAGTTTCGATCATGTTTAAGAACGCTTCTTAGGCAGCATTTCTACTCCAAGGTAGAACGGTTATGGACGTGAAACAGCAGTCATTTTTTTCCCTATAGCAATGGATGCCAACCACAGAAAGAATACAAAACTCCAGCGTATATTTTGATTAGTAGAGATGAAATTTACAGATATACTGAACCGCGAGTCCACATAATAAAACCCAAGACAACGAACGGTCTCAGTTGTCAAAGGCATCTATTTGTGAAACGAGATGGAGATTTTCGCACTTGGATGAACCACCCCAATTGGGGTTTAACCGTTCCATAATTTAGAATAATCTCTGCTTTCATATACAACGTCATCGCTGAGCTCATCTTGCTTACCCTATTGTTGGCTGGAGTCCCTGGCCTCGCCGCTGCTCTCTCCGGCCTCACTTTTGCAAAGGGGACACGATGCATTTATTTTCAACCATTTGTCAACACACTCCACGTGAAAGACATGTAAACATGGTAGCTCCCGTAGCTCATCGTCATCTGCATACTTTGCCAAGCAAATACAACAAACCTGCACCATATGGAAGGAGAAAAGCAAATCAATCAAATGAGAATTGCAGATAGGAAACGGTCTCGTTGTTGCACTTTCCAAAACTTTAGGAATGTATAAAGCTTTGTTCCTATAACAAACGCAACGCTATATATAACCAACTACGCGGGCATATAACTCCAGTTAACCAAGAAAGTGATTATTGCCAATTAACCAATACGAATGTCATTGGTTGTAATATTTTGTTTTATAGTAATATTATAATACGGTTAAATAAAATTCGATTTGTTCGAATATCTGATACCTCCAGCTAACTTAATAATTAATGACGCGTGTTAGGTAATACGTAAGAAGTATACCGGATTTTAATTTAGTGTTAGGTAAAATTTTATGAACTTGATGGTTAAAGTTGGCGTGAGAATCAAATTTGATTAAGCACGGTTTAATTTCAAGACCATGAACTTGGGAGGGACAGAACCTACTCACCGCATCTTCTCCAGATATCTCACGCTCCTTTTCTGTCCCTGCAGCCAAGAGGCCACATTCACTACCTAGGTTGCCCTCCTGATCATCATTGCTCTCGTTTTCCTTCAACTTGAATTTGTACGTCGGGAGAGCATTAATTGATTCCACGGTGGCTCCTCTAGTCTGAGAAAGATCCTCTCGAAATCCGAGGACAGAAATGATGCAAGGTAGGCAGCAGCAAATTGTTGCACATAGTATGAATGGCATTGCATATCCAATACAGCTGAAGGTAAGGAACACTATGCATAACCTATCAGAAACACCGAATACATAAAAATGACTCGATAACCTAGAAGAAACCAAGGAAATGTTAGATGACTCAAACATAGCACATATTAACTTTACGTACTTGTACAGTTTAGGAGCATCAGAAGGAGAAGAGTGACTTCCAAAAATCCACACATTGCCTACAACAAACCAGACTGCAAAGAAGCAATCTAAGGCCATCTTGAAATGATCCACTAACCCATTAATTCTGCAAAATTGAATGACTTCCTCACTTCACGACACATCTATAAATTGCATAAAACACATGGAAAGACAAAAAGATAAGATACTTACAACTTGAAAATAGTATTTAAACTGTTTGATGTATCAAAGTGGCCTTAAAATCTTGGCGTTGTCATCATGCTTCAGTTTATTGTCTTATTTCTATGTACATGCTACAGTAAAAATAGATCTCCTTTTGATTTCACTTTCCAAAGTAAGTAAATTTCTAATACGACCTATGATTTTATGCTAGCATGGATGACAACAGGTATATTATAGAAACCCAAGCAGGAAAACCTTTAGAGAAGAATTAGAGGCAGAGCAGCAGACAAGAAACTCAAAACTGAAATTTAACATGTGGTATTTTATGTCAGCCACTTCTTGGTGATCTAGCATGCACTATGAATATCTTTCCCTATCAAAATTGTAAGTTGTGAATGAATGAGGTAGTTCATCCTTCAAGTACTGTAGATCACTTGGTTAATTGATAATCCATCCATTCACCCTTTCAGTCCATCATCAATGTCTGGAAGGCATAAGGTTCCTTGCAAGGTTTAATACTTGCTTGCATTGTTGCTCATGGAGGCTCAATACTTAAGATTACTATTCGACAGAAGAGGCCCTGTATGTTGTCTTTCACCTTCTTGGTGTGTTATGAACACGAACGAAGAGGTTCTTCAAACAGTGATAATTTATTTCTTCATTATCAAATTAGATAGTGCCAAATATTTTTGAGGAAAATATTGAGTTGGGTGATTCTACCGTCTTGTGTATCTTTATTAGCCGTTTGTGCATTTTAACTTTTAGAGAAGACTTGCCTTTTCGGGAACATACCGTTGAAAAGTTATGAAATGTGTGTTTAATTTTCATAACAAACACAACTTAATGAACTAAACTAAACTCATTCTCCTTAAAGCATGCTCACTAGGAAACTTGACAGGTAAGGTGACAATCAATAAGTAAAATGCAAGACATGACCACCAATTAAACATAAAATGGGAAGATGAGGGAAAAATGGAAAACCTTGCACTTAAGGGTCCTCCAATTTGAGGGTTAGTTGTAACCGTTTCGGAGGTGCGATTGTGCTCTTCATCTGAAGCTTGAGTAATTGAAATAGCTGTATAAGACGTTGGTTCAGGACTGCTTACAGAAGACCCTTGATGCGATTGAATGGATTCTTGCTCAGCAGCCCTGTTGCGGTTACGGAACCTCCAGTAAAGAACAGGAAGTGTTGCAACACAACCTGATGCATAACCCACAACCCATGCAAACAAAGGGGCTTGTGGATCTTCGTTTGTTGAAAGTGACAAAACAACAATAGATGCTGTAATCTGACTCACAGTGACAACAAGCTCAACGGAAATCCATAACCCTGAATTTAAAGGGCTTCTTCGGCGATGACTATACCCATCACGTCTCCTCACAAATGAGGAATTCCTAGAATTTAATCTGTTTGATGAAAATGATGCACCTAGATAAGTCGGGGCATGTGTACTCGCTGATGGTCTGTCTTCATGCTGGGGCATGTCCACTCTAGGACGTTGGTCATCACTAGATGTACTTGATGAAGCATCATAATTCCTTGTTACATCAATTACGTGCACACAATTGTTATGACTTTCCATCTGCTCTAGTAGCAAAGGAAATTGGTCACCTTGGGTGTCACTATTAGGTGCTGCAGAGGGAACATCCATCTAACTCCACCAACCAAATTGGAAGGTGGGAATGCATATAGATTATGCTCAACTTTCTAGATTTTTCACTTTGATCAAAAGTCTTCCTCTTTCTTACTCACAATACATGGCACGGTCTGGAACTGGAAGATTCAAAGAATTTATTTCTATTTCATATCTAAGGCTGTAAGCTGCAACAATATCCGAACTATGATTAGTTCTTTTAATCATTTCTATAAAACATAAATCAAACAATACTAATTAAATGCAGCAGAACTGGATTGCAATATCACATAATTGGTAAAATGAGCAATGCCAGCCTACAAAAAATGATCAGGATCACACAACCAAACAGATGGGTGGTTACATGATTCACGAGACTAGTTGACGTTCATACATTACTAAATTACTCCCCAATTTGTCGGGGATATCACCACGACAAAGAAACAAGAACGAGAACAAGACATAAAAAAACATAACCAAGATTCAACAAAAAGATACAACCGGACAAGCGGAAAGTGAATAAACCTCATACCCCATCCCATAAACACTTAAGACTTGTTCTATAACATAATAAAAACCTCAAATTATCTTCCTAAGTGGATGACCATGCGCAATTATACGTTCATCCGATATGCATTACATTTTCGACTAGTTTTTCGGTCTCAAACAAGTAGTACAACACAAGTCAATGCACAAAACAGCATCAAAACACAGAGACCCACTTAATGGAAAATCAAAATAGATCAAATTTAAGAAAATCAGAGCCTTATTTCAATCTCAGAAGCAAAACCCACGTCTGAAAAACTTCATACACTCGCTCAATTCACTAAATTACACTTAGTAGTGATAGAAATTCAAAACCTTCCAAAAATTCACTGTCCCAAAACGATCGAACCAAAGAAATGGCATTAAGTTATAAACTCGAATTAAAACTTAAAAACCCCACTAATGATCATACAAAATTAATCAAAATATAATCAAATTTCCCAGAAATAAAAACCCTATAACCCAAAAACGATAACCAAAAAAGGAAGAAAACTTGCAGGGATTGAATCAATCAAATATACCTGGTATAAAAGATACTGCGAGTATCACAGAGTCAGAAGAAAAGCTTCAGAGCTCGCTTTTTCTTCCCATTTCTTTTATTTTCTCGCGGATTTTCAGTTTTCTCCAGAGAAAAAAAATAAAAATATAACGTCAGCTTTTTTGCTCCATCGCTCACGCAAGCTCATCTGAGAGAGATGAGCTGGTGGGACCTGGGGGAGTGACTGCGAGGGTTTTTGCGCCGTTGGATTGCGGAGGGTGATATCAATATGTTGTTGGGTTTGATGGACGGTTGAGATTCACTTGATGTGGTGGGAGGCACTGCACCAAATCTACTAAAATGGGACTACAGCATGGTTTGGTTTGGTATTGAGATGATTTATATAAAAACTGGTATAAAAAAAAAAGCTGAAAGAATTTTTGGTGTTTGATAAACCCCTCAAATCAGCTTTATTTCAAATTTTCAGATGAAAAAAAGCTAAAATAAACTTCAAAAATAGCTTCTTGTGAAAAACACGGAGCTACAGTAATTTTGTTAATAAATTTTTCAATTTGCCAACCTTGCCCCCCTTTCTCCTTTCTCATTTCTCCTGCCTTCCTCGCACTTTCACTCTTCTCTGCAAGCCCTCTCGCAAAACACTCTCTCACGCCCTCTTCCTCTGTTGCCTGCCGCTGCACCTCTTCCTCCTCCTCCTTTTCCTCTCTCTCCGTCAGTCTCAGCGCCACAGACACCGCCGTCGCCTTCCCTCCTTCCTCTGGTAAGCTTTTCTTGTCTAAAATTTCGTTATTTATTTGTTTGGATTTTTTAAATTTGGGGATGGGGAGAGTGAGTGAAAGAGGGGTGGGAAGAGCGAAGGGATGAGTGTATGGGTGTCGGGAAAAAAAACTGGGGATGGAGGAAAAAATTGGGGGAAAAAATTAGGGTTTGTGGAGGAAACAAGAAAAAATCGACAGTTGCTCCGTTTATGTTCAATGTTGTGGATTCTATTTCTATATCTTAGGAAATGCAAATCATTTTTCAGCTGCTGCAGAAATCGATTTATTTAGCATCATATACTTAAAGTCGTTTCGATAATTAGCACAACTAATAAACCAACATTCCAAAATGTATCATTCGATTTCGAACCCTTCAAGTAAACCCCTAAGAAAATAATACAAAGTTTTGTAAAGACAAGATATTGGGGCGGCAACACTGAGAAACGACCCTGATATCTTAGTGTCATATGTTACCTTGATCTCCACTGCAAGAAAATGTGATGAAATAGTCAGTGGTGTAACCAAAAAAAAAAAAAAAAAAGTTTCAGATCACACGAGTTTGCTTCTCACCATACTTTGCTTAATTCTTACCTTCTTGTTCAATTCAGCGGGAGCAGCACTCTTGTGCCTCTGTGGACACTTTGCTGCAAACAACCAAACTGGCAATCTCAGAAGTTTTTGACCCGATTCTTGCTCCAAAATCCGGCAGAATTGTTATCTGGGTCTTTTTCTCTGAGTTGTTCTGTGATTCTGAGGTTCATAGTCCTGATTCATAGTTTTAACTCCTTATTGTTGTTTGTTGAACATATATTTCAACCAAGTCAGCTGGACTTCAAGATCTTTCATAGTAGCAAACACCTCTCGCTTCTCTGCACTACAAAATAAACATGTAACAAACAACCATAACTCGCAATGTGGCTCATAACCGGGCAATTGTGCAACATACGCTATCACTTCCGGAATACTACTGCCTATATGCAGCGGCCTCATCAACAAGTTTGCATAACTCCTAGTTTCATAAGCTTCAACAAGACGGTCAATTTGACCACAAAGTTTTGCAGCACCTCCATTTTTATTCCCTTTCTTATCAACCTTCTTCTTTTGAAATTCTCCTTGGTTAGCCACTCTTGTTTTTCCCTTCCTAGTAGCTTGCCTTAGTACTGCATAGTCTCACTTTCTTCCTACATATATATATATATATATTAAAACAAGAACAAATAATATTGTAATATAACCAAGAAATAACTAATCAAAGCATTATGTACATGAAAGCATACACAGTACACATGGAGCCACCTCATGCTTGGCCATGACGCCACTAATCAAATAAACCTGTGATTGAAATCACAAGGAGCATAATGTTCCAAATTCCAAATTCTTGCAATAAGTAACCAACTCAGTAGCAATGCAAAATATTCAGTAGGAGCTAAGAATTAAAAAAAGGAGCAGAGAATTAGTCAGTAGAGATACATTGGCCTTACCAGATTCAATGAATGAGAAAGCTTGAGTGTTTGCAATATGCCCGATTGATCAGTTTCTTAGCAGGGAAGAATCTCAACTCTGCAGCAATATTACCAAAGTTAAGAAGGAAAATATATTGGATAGATTCTATCTTCATATTACACGTGAATCTATTGAAATTGGAATTATTGGATAGACAATGACAACAGATCAATCATCTAATCCTATGAAACCTATCCAACGCTATTAGCTTTGCATTGGATTAGATCTGATTCCAAAATCTAAAAACCAACCAAAATTGAATCAGTTATTGTTATGGATCCAATCCACCAAACTGAACTGATCAGCTGTGCGGATTGAATTGGATCTGGTGGAACACTCCAAAATGTCACAACTACAGTGAAAATTGCATAAGTGACTATACTACGCAAACACTTTAATAATCCAAGTCTCAAAAAGTTTGTATCCTTATCGAAAGGCAAATTTGAATTCCCTTAATCATAGAAGACATGAAATTTTTGAACTGCAATGTTATACAATGCAAAGGACCTCTTCTCCGAATAAGAAGTACATAACTTATCGAAGTTCAAGACTAACAATTAATTCAAGGACAACATATAACAAGCAATTCATCAAGCTTATGTAATCAAAAAAGAAAAAAGCAAACCCAGCAGAAACCAGAAAAGCAAACTTTTTCCAGTCATGAGTACTGCAATCACTGACTCACCCACAAAATACAACAACTTGAACAAAATCTATAACACATAAACTGAGTTAAAAGAAGAAAGCTCACTAATCAGCAATGGCGGAGCTGCTACAGAACACAAAATGAGAGGTGCCGACAAATGAGTTAAAAGAAGAAAGCTCACTAATCAACAATGGATGTGGGGTACCCACAAATGAGAGGTTATTTGGGACCATATAAAGGTGAAATATATCATCTCCCGGATTTTCGTAGAGGTGCCGAACCAACGGGTCATAAAGGGGTATTCAACCACATGCATTCTTCTCTTAGGAGCATCATTGACCGAACTTTTGGGGTATGGAAGAAAAGATGGGCTATTTTAAGGGATATGCCTAATTACCTATACAATAAGCAAGTGAAGATTGTCATTGCTACAATGGCTCTTCATAACTATATACGAAGGTATTCTGAACGTGATCGTCATTTTGATGACCCCATGGACTTTTGTGAAGAGAGCGATAGTAGTGATGATGATGATAAAGAATACCAAAATTATCAAGTTGAAAGATCACATGAGACAGGCATTAAGAAATAGAATAGCGGCAAGTTTGATGAATGCATCTAATTAGACTACTTTCAAGTACATTAACAATATTGTACTAATGAATCATAGCTATTCAGTCTAAAATATTTCAATTGAAGTAGTTTGTCATACTAATTTATATTTAAGATAACGTTTATAAATATTTTTCTTTTAAAAATAAAGTATATTTAGTAATTCACTTTTATTTGTTAAGAAAATTAAATTAATAGCACATCTAGTATTATACCATTTTTGGTCATTACAGTCACAGTTGTTTTATATAAAAGTTTACCAAACATTATCATATTGTTTTTTTTTTCCAAAAGCATTTTTACAAAAAAGTTTACTAAATACTCTACTGCTTTATTTCACAGTTGCTTATTCTCACAATACAGCAGAAACAGTTTTTTTTCAAAGCACAGCAATACCAAATCATATTTACAACTCGAGCTTGTTGCGACTCTGGAGTCCTAACTCAAGACCAAGGTTCTAAAATATGTCAAGTGCTAGTCGGGCGGAGGGCAGGGATCTAAGCAAATTTATGTAAGTTTATTGTAGAAAAAATTAGTATCTGGTTCCTAGTTACTAATGTTCATTGATTGAAACCTTATTAATTTTCAGATTTTGATCCAAGTCCTTAGCATTAATGTAATAATGAATTTACATGTCAGTTAAATAATTTAAAAAAAATTAATAATTGATTTAGAATTTTAATACTCACTCCTTTATTAAACTCCTAACTAATTTTCAATTCAAAACATTTCCAAAATAAATAAATAAATTAGAATAAGTTTGTACCCATTAGCTTTTTTAAAAAATATTTTCAATTTTTTAATTTTACATGTTGTATTCATGTAATTTTTTCAAAATTTTAATCTTAAAATTTACTCATTCTTAAATATACCAATTTGTTATATGTAAAAAATACCATTTTTTAATATAAAATCTATTCAATTTTTTTCTAATCCAATTTTAAACTTATACGGGTACATTTTTTTTCCTTTGATTTGAGAATGTATCCATGTTAAGTTTAATCGAAGAAATTTACTAATGTTATTAAGCCTAATACCTTTTTTTTTTTTTTTTTTTTGTGGTTTTGAAGAATGTACCCATGTTTTGGTACAATAATTTTTTGGTTAATTTTGATGAATGTACCCATGTTTATATATACACACAAAAATAGTATATTTTATATTTTAATATTTTTAACCCCACAAATTATGATTTTTTATATTTAAAATCTCATTAATATAAACAACTATAAATTTTAATTTTTAATTTAAAAAATTAGTAACATACATAGAAATAAATTATCACATTAATTTCACAGACTTCGATAAAAAATTAAAAACCAACAAGGTTTCAATCAAAGAATATTCATAACTAAGGACCGCATCCAAAGTCTCATTTTATTGTATATCTTGTAATTAAGTGTCTATTTACACTAAAAAAAAACCTATACTTGTATGAATAATAAAATAATGATAAAATATTCCTAAAAAAATGATAAAATGCGAAAATAAAAGTAGAAGAATACACAAAGTATATCCATCCAACAAGTTCAATATTTAAAAAACAATGAGCATATAGATTAAATTCTTCTTGTTCATGATCCTTGCATTGGATTGGACATAGACATTTAACCTTGTTGTATCTAGTTTATTTATTTTCTTTGTATGTATCCCCTCAAAAGTGCTCCAATTCATTTAACAATTGGATACACTTGTAGTAATCCATCATTTGCAAATTAGGTACACCATTTCCATTGAAAAATTCGTCATGTAAAGTACGTTTACCCGACAACATGTGGGTTCGTTGGGCAAGATTTGTGTGCACAAATAGTTTTATTGTTTGGAAAAACATGTTTGGTTTCCTCCACCGTAAAGGAAGAAAAATAGTAGAGCAAAACTTCTCTATAATGATACTTAATGAGTCGATATTAATCCATATTTTTACTCAAATGACACATCCTTACCCGGAATGTCCACTTGAACTTCTAATCGAGCTATGTTGGCCGACACCATAAAAGGTGACAAAGCCATAAAGTGTAGTGATATGAAAAATGTGAACGAATTTTAAACCTAAAAGTGCCTAAAATATAAGAGTGCGCATGTGAGCGGGATTGAACCCAATTCACACGTGATGCAGAGCATAAGTAAAAATACTATAGAGACAGGGTGAGAATTATACCCTCGAAGGTAATTTCCAAAATTGAGATTTGCCAAGAATCTTTGTCAATAAGAATCTTCGTCGAAGGTAATCTCCAAAACCAAGATTTGCCAAGAATCTTCATTGATACGAAATCTCCAAAACAAAGGTGAGTGGGCCTAAAAATAAAGCTTTGTAAAAACCTTTCAAAAACATAATAACCCCTCGTCGTAAAGAAAGTGTAGTTTTCAAAATATACATACTACGTATAGTACGAAAGTACTTACCGTAGCCTGCAATATCTCAAGAATTCAATATGTCACAATATTTCATGGATAAACACTTAACGTTCGATAATCACAATATCTCACATAACAAACATATCATAACGAGTTCTCATCGACATATGTTGACACATGAGTTCATGCTGAGGTATTTTGACATGAACATGGTTGGGTATAATAATGATTTACGCTTAAGTACTACACTCACGTGAAGACTGGCGTTATACGTGTCACATACAAGTCTTAATTGCTTGTAGCAACCTAGGACAGGACTGACACCTATAATGGATCCAAAGTGAGCGAACGGTGCAATGTGAACATACACGTGAAAGACTGACCTTGGCTCGGGCGAGTACTAACATTGGTGCAGCAACGATGAGCAAATAATGTAAATCAAATCATAAAGCGGTAAATCAATAATTTACGTCGACATATTACTATTCACTACCATAAATATAAAGAAGGTATCTCGTAATAATATGCATACCTGTGCATCTGTGTGATTCATAATAATCTCACAATTTTTATCATCGCAACAATTCTTATAACGTCAATTTAATTATGGCATCACTTAGAAAATGCATTATTAATCTATGTATGGAAACTCAAATAATATATAAAAGAAAAGACCCACTCACAAATACTTGCGAAGTCGTAGCTGTTCGGACGAGTAATACGGATTGCCGATGCTAATCGTACCTAAGCATAATAGAGACCCATTAGTAAAACTCAATTAAAACATTTGAATTTGGAGAAACAAACGGTAGATTCAAAATTAGGATGTCAAAATACGCTAAGAATGGTCTTGGGCAAATTTTGTAAAAAGTCAACCGTTGACCCTAAAAGTTAACCGAGCCGCCTCGACGGTCGACAACATTAAAACTTTGGAATTTTACTAAATGGATGTCAAAAACGGAATCGAGGCATTGCAAGTAGCTTGGGTTTTCGAGAAAATTCTTAAAAAGTCAACACAAGGAATATTCCAGATCCATTTTCGGAAATAGGCCGGATCAGGTCAATAGGGCAAAGGTTTGGGCTGGGTTTGGGCTTAGGCTTTTTTTTTTGCCAGTTGCCGTTGCAACCGCTAAAAACTACGAAAGATAAGGTCGGGATAAATCCTAGTTTCGATCAACCACGAAACTTAGCCATGTAACATACCAAAATGAAGATCAGAGAACAAGGAATTGAAGTATACCCTCACTGGATCTTGCAGTAGCCGGAAAAGTGTGCAACAACTCGCGAATTGCCTGAAATCTGGGGAAAAGTCCCCACGTCGTCTCTATGAAATTCCACCGTCCAAAACACGTCAACACAATCAACAACAACTATAAGGATAAAAAGGAAAAGGTCTAGAAACTCGGAGTTTTGTTAGGAAAATCTCTGAGTTCGTATAGAGGTCGAAAGTCCTCAAGTTTCATTTTAGTCTTCATTTCAGGGCTTAAAAATGTGTGATGGTTGTTAGAGGACTCGCGGAGTGACGATGGTGGTGTGTGTATGGTGATGGGCTTGGTGATGTGTCGATGCACATGAAGCAAAGATAGCTTGAGAGAGTTTTAAGTGTGAGAGAGATAGATGGTAAGGGAAGAGAGTAAATAGAAGTTGGGTTGGTGGTCTGGAAGGGTGGTTGGCCGGATAAAAGGGTGGTGTGGTTGGTTCCTAGCCTTTTCGCCTCTCTATTTATAGAGATGAATAAGATATAATGAAAGAGAGAGAGAGTTTAAAAAAAAAATTATAAAATAGTGAGAGGAAATGAGGTGGTAACAAGAGAGTGGTCCAAAAATTTCTAGAAGGGAACCCGAGGACAAGGAAGGAGTGGTGTGTGGGCCCCACATGGCTCACAAAACAAGACAAAATATCTTCCTAGTATGAATTTACCAATTTGCCCTCAGTATTTAGTGTGTTGTAAAATCTTCGTTATAACTCTAAATTCAATTCCACTTGTGCCCACACGTTCGTACGATCGAGTACAACATAAATACATGAAAATAATAGGTCATACGCATCACGAAATGATTGTCGACAAAAGTCAACAATCTCGCCTCTAGGGGCATTTTCATAAATTCACTCTTTTAAAATTTATAAAATTGTAAAATTAGGGACGGGTTGTTACAATCTACCCACCTTAAAAAATTTTCATCCCCGAAATTTGAAATAAGTTGCTAAAATAAAGTACTTGAGGATAGAAAGA